CTTTGCTTCTCTGTGTAACCTAAGTGAGAGCTGAAGAACAAGGGAGGGGTCGAGAAAGGAAATGGTGTGGTTGTCATTACAAGAAACTGCAGCTCGCCCCATTTCCAATAAACCCTCATGGAAAATCTAAGACCAAGATTGTAACAACAGCGTGAGAACGACCATCATCTGGGTGAGGCCTGAAGCAGAGGAGGAGGACTTGCAAAATGGAGCTCGAGCAGATTAAGGCATCAAAACAAACATCTTCCACTCTGACCTCATTACCTAATGTGTCCAAATTACCTAAATTAATGATGTGTCTGGAGAAGCTCAGACCTTGGGAACCATTTTAGTGGGGTTGTGTGGATTACCTGTGCTTATCTTGATGCAGGTGGTTCTCTAAATGTGGTTCATGGACCACTGCTTTGGAATCACCTAGAAGGTTTGCTACGATGTAGATTGCAGGGCCTCATTTCTGACGGTCCAAAGCAAAGTCTCCATGAGTATAGGAATCTGCATGCCAACACTCTTACAAGATATTTATTTGCATAAAATTTGAGAACTACTAGAATCCAAAAGAGAATGAACGGCTAGAGGAGGTGAGGAGGAAAATTGTATCACTGAAGCCTGGGCAGAAAGGGCCCTAGGCAAACCACGTGGCTTCCCTTCTGGTGGAAGGGCTGGCTGCTGAGACCAGCTGCCCATAGAGCCTGGAGACACCCGGAGAAGAGGGGGCTTGGGGTGGAGTGGTGCAGGTACCTACCAAACACCGTCAGGGTGAGCAGGAGATTCTTTCCCAGCTTGTTGCACAGGCGCAGGCCCAGGTGTCGGTGCTTGGGTTCCTCCGAGCCGAGGTGACTGTCGTGCATTCGTACTTCCACCTGCTTGGGCATATTGTTGGCACTGAAACAGAAGTGAAGGCAGAGATTAGAGAGGCTGGCACCTCCCCTATACAGCTGCAGGGGCTTGACTAGTAGAAACCTGTCCAGGCACAGTTGGAAACTGGAACCATCTGCAGGAAAATAAAAGTAAGTGTGACTCAGGGTCACCTATAAGCAGGACAGCAGGACACACTGAAGACTGATGTGGATCCTCGCAGTAAAGGGAAGGAAGGCCACATGCAATGGTAGCGTCTTCTAAAGAGTTGCCCCCCACGATAACTTGGGGAGGGAAGTTACCATGTTACAGAGCCTTTACGTGACTCTTGACCAAGGTTGCAAAGGCTAAAAGAAATAGAAATCCAAATAGGCCTGGTTCTGAAACCTGAGCTCTTTTGTTCTTGTCACAAGAGCAAAAAGGTGACTTTTTCAGGAGAGTCATACTGAGTTACATCAACATTAAAATGTCTCTAAGCTCAAGTCTTCCCCATCCTGGACATGTAAAAATCACAAAGGCTGATCATCTAAGGTTTACTTCTTTTATGGAAAAGATAGTTTACCTAGTCAAAAAAAAAAATTCAATCTCTTGTGGTTTTTAAAAGGTCACCTTCATTATCAGGACTGCTAAACTGGCCAAGAGCTAATACCACTTAGAGTCCAAGAAGCGTGGCTTTAAGAAGTATTTCAATCACCTCCAGCAATGGATGCAGCCCAGCCCTTTTCTGGGTAAGCCCCAGGTAAACCTAAGCCATCTTGAGAGTCTGCCCAAAGGAGCTCTTACCAGGGTAATGGGTGTCCTTCTCCGTCCTCAGCTTTGCTATTTCCCAGGCCAAGAAGATTTCAGATAGAAGCTTGGGGATTGCCATAGTGAGGCCAATTTTTCACTTTGACATCTTACAACATCTTTTTTGCTGCTATTTACAATCACCATCATTTGATAAAAGAAAAACAAAAACAAGCCTTTCATACCTAGAAAGAGAGGTGTCTCTGAACAGATGACAGCGCTTACAAGACAAGGAGGTATTGCCCTTATCCAGACATTCTTGTCACAGACTGGAGAAACCTTCCTTTGGAACCAACATCAAGCTGCAGACCAGTGTTTTGGAATAACTGGTTATAATGGGAATAGTGTAGATTTTGGAGTCAGAAGGCCTTGGCTTCAAATCCTGACTCTATCTCTTGCTAGCTGTGTGCGGTGTAGAAAGAAAAGCCTGATGCCTACTTCATAAAAATTAAAATTTTGCTAGCATAGTACCTTTCTCCAGTGTACACAAAGAAGAGACACATAACACCCATCAACTTCATGACAGGGATGACATTTAGTTTAGGGGCTTAACCCACTTGCCCTGCCATTCCAGAAAGACACCAAGACCTTAGCTTCCAGTCTCAGAGTTAAGACCTGTAACCCAAATACAATGACTTGCTTTTTCATAACAGGCTGTTTAATATACTTGCTAACGAAATGTTTTATAATTAGGGATAATGTTGAATGATCAGATGAGAATGTTAGTCAAAATCTAAGCTTCTTAGTCTCCCCTTAATGGCCCAATTTTCTACTCATCTAGTTAATTTCTGAAGCAATTTCTGATTTCCTGACATATGTGTATACTAATGACCACTCAGACTGTCTGAAAAAGAAAGTAGGGTATGACTGCTCACAGCACGCGGGTGAGGGCCTTTCTGATCAGTGAGCAACAGATACCATTTCCTCCCATCGCTAAGTGAAACAGACAGAAAATTCATTTTACAACACAGCAAAGGTAAATGATCAAAATGATCTTTTTAACATGGATAGACCATATTTCTATGTTTGCAGTGGGATCCTTTTCCATTTTCAAACATTTCTCCAACCAGCCATCTAAAGCTCTAAACCAGGAAATGTTGACCAAAGAACGGAGGTAGTTTGTGTTCTGAAACGGTGAATGTATTTCTGTAGCCAGTTCTTGGCAGAACTCTCCAGTCCCCTTGAGATCATTAATGTTCTTACCTTCTGCTTCATTTGAATCTCTGCTGCCATTGAAATGAGAGGCAGGCACATGGTATGGTATTCAAGTACGACTAGGAAGTATTTAAAGCAAACATTCTGGCGGGATCCATATGATGTAATGGAAGTGTCAGGCATCAAAACAGCCATGTCAAAGTGAAAACACACAAACATTAGGTTAGCATACACACCCAACCCAGCAACGTGATTGGATGTCTGTGCCACACATTTCTTTGTTGTACAAAATTGCTTCCTCGTTAATGGTTTGTTTTTTAGGCCGTAACAAAAGGTCCCAAAGCCCTGAATTAAAACAGCCACATCAAAGTGGCTGCATCAAAATGCTATAAATCCACAAATATTTATTGAGAGAATTCCTGTGAGTTGCCCTCTTTGAATTAAACAGATATGGAAGAATTGTAAGAGTTCTTGATGTTTGCACATAGAAAACAATTTTTAAGGTAAATCAGGGACTCGGTTTGCAGCTGGAAACACAGAGAGTCCCCCTAGAACTCTTTGTAAAAATTCTAACTATTCTAATTAGTCTAACAAATCACGACATCTCCCAGAACACAAGGAGTGACTGACATGGGAACTATCACGGAAAATAGCGTGACAGAATATTATATAATATAGAGCTGCTTCTAAGCCTATATATCTTTAGAATAAGACATAAGTTATAAAAAATGTGTTTACACACACAGTTATATAAATGCTAATTGCAAACACACCTGGTAACAGTGAATAAGAGGAATAACTTGTATTTATTGAGTGCACTCTATGTATCAGACACTATACTCAGTAATGGCTATGGTACAATCCATACTCTTAAGGAGCCTTTACTCAGAAAGGAAACACAAAGCACATTGCACTGTAATTGTCTGCTTTATGTTACAGGCCGTGAGCAAATTTGCAAAGGAGTCTATGAGAAATCATAAGAGCAGTGTCTAACCCAGGTTCAGGGAAGAGGAAGAGATGTTCAAGAAGGGGTCCCAGAAGGGGTTGAGACCTGAGTCAGACCTTGAAGGATGGATTTAATTTAAATGCTTACATTCTCCACCAGTCTATGAGCCCCAGGAGGCCAAGATTGTGATCTTTTAACACCTAGTACTGTGTGCTTAATCAATGTTTGCCAAGACAAATTGAAAATTAAAAAGCAGCTCTAAAAGGACTCCTTGCTTGCCCCTGGGAATAAGGCCCTTCTGCAGACAGACTGGCAGCATGCCATTTCAGCCAGATTCTGTCCATTCTTGCATTTATTCCACAAATTTCTAGTGGGCCTATATTACAGGCCCCATACTGTTGTAGATGTTAACAATATCACAATAAACAAAAAAAGCCTTTGATATCATGGAGTGTGTGCTTTAGTGAGAGAACAAATACATAGATAAATACATTTTAAGTGATGAGAAGTGCTCAGAAGGGGGTTTGTATTAGTTTGTTCTCACTCTGCTAATAAAGACACACCTGTGTAATTTACAAAGGAAAGAGGTTTAATTGATTCACAGGTCAGCATGGCTTGGGAAGCCTCAGGAAACTTACAATCATGGTGGAAGAGGAAGCAAACGTGTCCTTCTTCACATGGCGGCAGCAAGGAGAAGTAGAAGTGCCAAGCAAAAGGGAGAAAAGCCCTTTATGAAACCATCAGATCTAGTGAGAACTACTCACCATCACAAGAACAGCATGAGGGTAACTGCTCCCATGATCAAATTGCATCCCACTGGGTCCCTCCCATGACATGTAGGGATTACTGGAACTACAATTCAAGATGAGATGTGGGTGGAAACACAGCCAAACCATATCAAGGGTGAAGGAGAAGGAGACTATGTGGGGAGGCAGTGTGATTTTGTATCAAGTGTCCAGGGAAGGTGTCTGTGATGAAGGGACATTTGAATAGAAACCTAGAAGAAATGAGGGATCTTCTCAAGTATTTTATGCAATTTGCCTAGAGCTTAGCAAATAAATGGAACATACACAATTTGGAAATGTCTTATTATCTAAATCCTAAAACTCCCACCCAGATGCACCCCCTGGGGTCCACATGTTGACTTTTACATGGATTCAAATGAATATGTAATAAGTAATGCTGGGCCCTATCACCATCGTGAATATGATGAAGGTTTAAATGACTATCCCAGCTCCCCCTAAGAAAAATGGTTACCAGGAAGAGGTGAGTTGGATACAGGTGGAAAGCCTAAGGTCACGACAACCAGTGAATTTGCTCTCATGGCAATGAATAGAAAGTGCTAAACCTGGTCTGGGAAGTCCCCTGTATAAACACAGTAAGTCATGTCCAGTGTGCACACTTACCCCCTTACTAATATTCCCTTCCTACATCCTGTGGCTCTGCACACAGAACAAAGCAATAAACCCCAGGTGGGGTTTGGGTCCACCAAATCCATCAAGGCTAATGCTCTCTGACACTGCCCACCAACTCTGTTTCTACTTGAGTGTCTCCTGAATGGAGGAATATTAGCAATGCAATGCCTTAATGTTGGAAGTTTCAGTGTGCCAACTTAGGCAGATCTCTCAAGTGGCCTCCACTGCCCAACAAAGTAAAGCCACGTGATGGGACAGCTGTTGGGATAATTAAAAACTTTTAACAATGAGCCTATAATTTCCTTCAGTCTTAGCCCCTCCATTGAATTATTTAAACAGCTGTTAATTTTGCAATCGCTGCCCAGTTCTTTCTCATGCAAATCCATGTGAGTCCTGCTTCAAGGCAAGCTCAGCTTATTGTGCAAATCATCCTCTGTGACTCAGAAGGGAACATGTAATGAATGGGGCTAATGCTAAGTTTTAAAGTATTCTCAGAACCTGCTTTTCATTAGCATTCGATTTTCTTTGCTTTGCCAAGAGCCTCTAATAATAGGCTCATTAGATGTGATGTTAGATTCAGATTTCCTGCTGCACACTTCAGTGTCGCCTTAGCTGGCACCAAATTCTTTTTTCCACCTTTACTGATTTGACGAGGTGGCAACAGAACATTCCCCAGGGAGCCTAAAAACAACTGGTGTGTTTCTCCTGGAAGATGTGAGGTCTGCAATGGGCTTCACCCATCTGTTCTTCCACTGCTGACATCTAACCTCCCCTCCCTGGCCCCAGGCTTTAGAGTCTAGGGAGGTACTGGGGAGACAAAGACATTCAGTAATTGCCCTAATGGACAACACTAGGTCACTCTAGTATCAAGAATAAAACAGCGTTCATTGCAGGGCCTCTCTCCTAAGACAGTTGGTGTATTTGAATAAGAATGCTGGAAATACCCGCGGTGTCAGCTCAAGCACCAAGAAGCAGAGGCAGAGATTTCAGCGTTGATTGTCCCACATCCAGGGTTTCCCCCAGCTCCCTGAAGAATGCCACCCCTGCTGTAAAAGGGCCTGAAACTCTAAGACTTCCTGGCATTTCCAACAGCCGGCAAGTCCCTCCACCCTTCCTAGATCCTAAAAGACCTAGCTTAACTGTGTGAAGGATGCTTACCAACCACAGTGTCAGTCTGTCGCTGACAGATACTGTGTTGTTACAGATCCCGTAAATGAAACTTAAAGGGTCACAGCCACCAAAGTCTCCCTCAGTCCCTTCTTCTGCTCATTGTGTCTTCAGAATGTCCATTTGCTAAATCACAAAATTCCTTTCTGGTTCTGCTGGTGAGGCACTCCAGACTTCACAAATCTCTTTACTATAGCTTCATCCAGTACATCCGAGGGGCTGGCTAAAGAATACAGTCTTCACTTATCCTGAATCATGATGAGATTGGGCCAGGATAGCACTGGAAGTCAGGAAGTCTGTGTTCTAATTCCAGGGCTGCTGCTAAATGGGTGTGTCAGAGGAAAAATCTGAGGATAAAATGGATGTAACATTACCTTCCATGATCAACAGACAGTAGGGTAAACTGCTATGAAGTGGTAAAAACACATTCTTAATGTAAGATATCAATAAGGTTTAAGTATCAATTTTGGCCTATTTTTATTTTTTAGGTCCCATTCTCTTAATCTATAAAATAAGAGGGTTGAATTGGAAATTCTTTAACATTCTAAAATTCTGTGATTCTCTAATTGTCCAGGTAGGGGAAAGGATAGTAATAGCACTCAGTTCCAAAGATGTGGATCCATTCTAGGTACCCAGGATGGAATAAGCTTAGAGCTGACTATGAAGACAAGTCATTTCATTCACCATGAAACAGCCCAGTAGCTGCACCACAACAGCTAGAGGAACAGCTAGGGAAAGGCAGAGATGAGAGACAAACCAACAGCAACCATAACAACAACCGTTTCTTTATGTCTTTGTGTCCATTTTAACCTTTCCTATCTCTGCTATGGAAGCACATTTTTTTAAGGCCAATAAAGCTGAATTTGGGGTCATATTCAGTACACAATTCAGACGTGAGCACCTTCTAATTCCTCATCCATCCTTCACCCATTCTCAGTCTAGATGTCTAAGTTAGGCAGATCAATGCCATCGGAACACAGTCAAACAGGTAAACTGGCATTGGGACCAGCCAAGTGCCAAACTCACCACCAAATCATTGAGAGACCATGTACACCAGGCACAGTCAACTTCCATGGAACTGGTGAGGTGGCAGTCAGAAATGATAAGACAAGAAATTGAAGGAGAAGTCGTTTTTTCCATATCACTTCCTAGGCCCAGTGGCCCAAGCCAGCTCATGCCGTGAATGGCAGGTATACAGTCAGTTGAGCCTTCGGTGTCCTCACACAAGCTGCAAAGGCAAAGTAGCAGGAGACAAAGTTTTCAAGGGATGAATAAAAATTGTATTTGTTTGGCTTGGAAAGAGATGTTAAAATACCAGCTCCGATTAGTAACCGTCCAGAAGACAACTTGGTGGAATGAATTTACATAAATATATGGCATTGATTCTTGGTTAAAATGTCCCTTTTCTGGTGGTGGCTGAGATAAGACATTTGGTCTTTTGGACAAACCACGCAACTCATTGGGTCATTATAGAGCTCCAGTGAGATACTCTCTATGAAAGCACTGACAGAGTATCTAATATGTAGTAGATACTCAATTTTAATATCCGTTCTTTGTCTGAAATCCCTCAAATGATGCAAAATAACCATTAAGAGGGTTTGCTTATGGTTGAGGTTTAGTAAATACCCTTGCCAATACATTCGTGCTTGTGCTTTTTATAGACCGAAAGTCCCAGAGTTCAGAGTGGGTGGGAGCCTGGGAAGGTCCCACTGTCATTATCCCCCACTACAATGGAATGACTGGATAACCTCTCAAAGAACATCAGGAGTACAACCTTAAGGATATGGCCTCTGACTTCTGTGAAATCCTTCCCTAGGCAGAGACTTAAGCCAGCTTTGACCCAACAAATTGCTCATTTTCAGATAGACACACCACCCCAAACAGAAATAAGACACAAAGGCACAATGAGCCTCCAGGGCCCAGTGAAAGACTGGGGTGGGGTGTTTGATCATCCCAAATTGGGAACCTCTTCTAAAAATAAAGATTATGCCATGGCCCAGGAACACATTGGCCAGCCCAGTCCCCAAAGGCCTGTCGATTCTGAAGTAATGGCTACCCGCCTCTGGCTCATGGAACAATAGGAAAACACATTTGAAAACTTCATACAACTTCAGTAAGCTGAGGAGGATTCACGTGGTGTACACTCTCGGTTTTGAGCCAGGGGTAACTTGACCCCTTTTCAGATGAATAAGGCAGCTTGCCTTGAAGCAAACTCTCCACTAGCTAAAACATCCTCCATCCACCCTCTAACCCAGCCTTCTTGGACTGACTTTTACTCCTTCCAAGTAACTCAGGCATGACTTCCCTCAGGAAGCCTTTGATAATTCTCAAGTTTGCTTTGTAGATACAGTTTACCATGTCGCCTGTGCTCTCGAGGCGTTTTTCACAGTTTACTTGTATGTTTTCCCCACTAGAACATAAACTTTTAGAGGACAAACTGTGTCTTATTTGACTGTTTCCACCATGCCTTGCATTCTCCTAGCACATAGTAGATGTTCAATTAGTATGTGCTGCATAAAGGAATGAATGAATGGATGATTAGGTTAAAAATATGTTCTAGTCACAGGTTCTTTGTGACACTCTGTTCTAGGGGGTAGTGGTCCAGAAGCCTAACAAATCTGAGAAGAGGAGAGAAATGAGAGAAGGAAAATCAGAAATGGCTTCAAGTGGGGAAGTTCCATCCTGTAAGAAGCAGGGAAGACCTGCATTGGGAAACCAGTGCACAGCAGAAATGGGCAGGTCAGCACCACAACCAGGCTGGTTCTTTTCAGCTGGTGGTTGTGATCCAGCTGCCCTGACCAAGGTATGGTGGCCTCAGTGCTCCCAGCACTCTTGAGGGAAGACGGAACCAGAAACCATTCTAGGTTCACCCAACAAGGCCTTTGGGGAAACTGATGAGGACCTGGGAAGATGCACTGGTCCCTGAAGGATCTCTTAGAACCCAACTACCAGCATCAACATCTCTAAATCTGGACCCTCCAAAATGTGGTCCTTCTGCCATGAAGCATGAGTACTCATTCTCCTTCCAAGCGTCACTGGAACCCTGATCTTGAGATTTAAAAAGCTCCAGGTTTGGCCCTCAGGCCTGGGAGTTTCTTGTAGCCTCTGAAGCTTCCCAAACTGAGCCTTTCCAAGCAGTCTCCCAGACAGGAGCAACTGGAATGCTGACTAAGAGGTGGTTTAATTAGCGGCAGCGCCTTCAGGCACTAGGCAGAAACTAGGTGAGGTGCTGTATACCTTAGCCAGAATTTCTGGGTCTTTTGATCACACATTACAATTGCTTTTCTTCAGCACAGTCTGTCTCTTTTGTCTCCTTTCTAGACTGAGCAGCCAACCACACAATGTAGCATCAATCCCAAGCAAGAAGGTAAGTCACTATCATGACCTTGCAAATAGCAAGATTTACCATGGCAGGCATTCAAAATGCCACACAACGCTTTTGTGAGGTGATGTTTAAGGTTCCCTGGAGACCTTCAAAGTCACCCACTTCTGGCTCCCAGAGACCCGAATTTCCTCCTTGAGAGAACTGTCCCTTTGGATTCCACCCAAGGACCTAGATTTAAGCCAGAAACCTATGGAAAAAGCAACCCATTCACTGACACCCTCGTGTAAAGGCGATTCTCAAGCCATCCCTAAAATAGTATTGTCTGGAGGAACCCCTTAATATAAGTACTGGCCAGAACCATACCCAGAAGCCAACCAAAAATAGATGTCAAGACATAAATGACATAAACTTTGCCAACTGCATGTCATTGCCAGGATTAGTCTTGGAGTCAACTGTGTTTGAAATTCTGAGGCCTCCACAGGGTTTCTTGATGATAGCAATTTTATTTTCCTTTTAAATCCAGATGCTTGTTTCACATGTGTGTTTAGTTTGCAAAAATTCATCACTATTATCATGTAAGATTTGTGTGCTTTTTTTGTCTGAGTGTTATACTTGAGTTAAAAGTTGAAAAAGAGGCAAACTAAATTATGGTGTTAGCAGTAAATATATGTAGTGTATCTATCTTTGGTCCTAAATGGCTGATTCCCATACAGGTGGATTTGCCAGCAAAAGAACAGGTACTAATTTGCCCAAAAAGCACCTTGTACTTTGGGAACATGTAAACATCTCCTTCATGCCCATAACAGCAAAGAACTCTCACACAGCTCCTTTCTTGTCTTCCATAACAGAAACCCAAGCAGTTTCTTCTCCTCGTGTTCATCTTTTAATCATAAACAATAACCAACATTTCGTCAGTTTAACTTTCTAACAAATAAGGTGATAATACCATTTGTGTAGTTTAAAAAGCATTTTGCATTCATTAAGAGTTAATGACATCCCTGAGAAGGAGGGATTATTCTGTCTTAGAAATGAAAAGACTGAAGCTCCAGAAGGTTCTGAAACTTGCTCAAGTTCATGAAGCTTAGAAGTAACAGAGTTAAACCTGTGCTGTGGTTCTGCAGCAAAGTTAAACCTGTGCTGTCTGTTGTCTTTGAGTCCAGTGTTTTATGGGCATACCCTTTCTAGGGGTGTTCGCAGAGCAATGGACACATTAGAACTACCATGTATAACCAAAGCACTAGGTAGCTACTTATGTGACTTGCATTCTAGCACGTGGAGAGGGAAGATAGAGACAGGAGGTGCTGCTAAATGAGAAAAGGCAAAGTGAGCTCTGGGAAGCTATGGCCTTATTGTCTGCCTTGGACAATCCATGCTGCTGGCGCCTTGGCCCCAGATGTACCACCATGAGAAAATGGAATCCGCTCAACTGGCTCCTCCCTTCAGCCAACCGGGGCACACAGGAACCATCCTATTTCCGCTGACTCAGCCAGCACTTGCGGCTATAAAATAACCTCCAGGGTTCACTCCAATTCTGGTCTTTCACCAGGAAGGACTCCCCCATCAGAGGGACCCTAATGTCTCATAACTGGTAATAAGAATAATGATGATGACAGTAATGGTGACAGCAGTTAACATTTCCTCAAAACTGACTTCATACCCGGAATTTTTCTAAGTCTTCTTGTGTATGAACTTATTTATTTCTCACAATAACCTCAGCAGGTGAGTACTATTATTAGCAACCTTTATGGAAGGAAAAACAAAGTCATTGAATGGTTAAGTTACTTGCTCAGTGTCATAAAGGTCATGGATGGTAGAGCTAGAATTTGAACCCTGTCAGTCCTGGACTTGGAGGAACTGGTCAGCATACTCTCCCTCCAGCCTGAAAAAACTTGCTCTTTATATTAGGCAATTTCATGCTAGCAATAGACATTGGCACTGAAAATTTGGCCAAAAGAGTGATTTTCCTCTCGGGGGATGGGGAGTATTCCAGAGAGAAGAAAGTTAACACCCAGTCCAAACCAGAGCTCGATCCAAGGGCTACACGCAACAGTCATGGAACCCAAACTTCTGGACTAGAGAGGCTTTCTGTCCCCTCTCAGACTCTAGACAAATGATTATCTGGTCTAGTGGCCCCAAATCTGTCTCTGGACCACTTGTTAAAAACACAGATCTCCTAAGCTTATGTCCACACAAAAACTTGCACATGGATATTAATAGCAGCTTTATTTATAATTCCCAAAACTTGGAAGCAACTAAGATATACTTCAGTAGGCAAATGGATAAACCATGGTACACGCAGACAATGCAGTATTATTCAGCACTGAAAAGAAATGAACTATCCATCCACAAAAAGACATGGAGGAAAAATAAATGTACAGTGTTAAGTGGAAGAAGCCAATCTGAAAAGGCTATGTATGATTCCAACTACATGACATTCTAGAAAAGGCAAAACTATGGAGGGGCAGAGTGATGAATAGGTGAAGCATAGACGATTTTTCTTAAGGCAATGAAAATACTTTGTATGTTACTATAATGGTAAATACACATCAGCATACATTTGTCCAAACCCACAGAACATATAACACCAAGAGTCAACCCTAATGTAAACTAAGCACTCTGTATGATAACGAGGTGTCAATGTAAGTTCATTGGTTGTGATAAATATACCGCTCTGGTGGGGCACGTTGACAGTGGGGGAGGCTGCACCTGAATGTGAGCAGGGGCATATGGGAACTCTCTGTACTTTCCACTCAATTTTGCTGTAAACCTAAAACTACTCTTTAAAAAACAGTATATTAAACAAAAACAAACAAAACAGAACACAAAACAGATGTCCAAGCCCCACCCCTGAATATTCCAATTCAGCATGTCTGGATGGGGACTAAAGCTCTGAACTTTTGCAGAGGCACCCAGGTGACACTGCTGCAGCCAACCCACATACCGATGTCTGGTCAATGTGTGAACGGGGCGGTACAGGGCAGCTTATCACTTCTACTCTAATCATCCTACCATTGGATAGCTTTGACTAGTAGGAAGTCCTTCCTTTATCATGAGCCTATATCTGTTTCCCTGTAGCTTTTACCTAAAGTTATTTTTCTACCTTTTAGAGCTACTTAATAATAACAGCTACCATCAGACAATGTACTGGATGCTTTACATGCATATTTCATTGTCTCCCCACAACACTCTCACAAGATAGCTGCTGTTTTTTTTTTTTTTTTTTTTTTTGAGACAGGGTCTTTCTCTGTTGCCCAGGCTAGAGTACAGTGGTGTGATTTCGGCTCACCACAACCTCTGCCTCCTGAATTCAAGCGATTCTCCTACCTCAGCCCCCCACGTATCTGGGACTACAGGCATGCACCACCATGCCCAGCTAACTTGTAGTATTTTTAGTAGAGACAGGGTTTCACTTCTTTATAGATGAAAAACTGGAGGTCAGAGAGAAGAGGACATGTACTCCAAGTCAGGCAGTTGGTGAGTAGATGAACTGGGATGGCAACCCCGCACGGCCTGAACAAGGTGCACACACTTAATCATGACACTTACAGAAAATGAAGCTGAATCCCTTCTCCATCTACCAACCTTTGAGGCCTATGACGTTTCTGCTCAGGGTTCTCTTTTCTCCAAGTTTGTCACCATCCTGGTTAGAGCACCCCAAGCCATTTACTTGCATGTGCCTCCTAGACCTGCACACAACCTTCCAGGTAAGGGCTGGCCACTTCCCCGCTCCCCTAAGCCCATCAAAGACTGCCTTTCTCACTCTCTTCCTCTGGCATGTCAGACTCTAGCAGAGCTGAGGCTTCAGCACTGCCTTTGAAAAAATGAAGGGCATAGGTAACTTCACAGTAGAGAAAGAAGGTAGTAGGGAGTACTGGTAGTGAATAGAACCATTTATTGACTTTTATTCTGTGCTAGTGATAGGCAGAGTAATGCCCCCGCAAATGCCCATGTCCTAATCCCCAGAACCTGTGGATGTGTCAGGTTACATGGCAAAGGAGCTCTAAGGCTGCAGATGCAATGAAGGCTGCTAATCCGCTGACCTCAAGATAGGGAGACGTGCCTGGATTTTCCAGGTGGGACCAGTGTAATCACAGGGGTTCTTATGCATGAAAGAGGGAGGCAGGAAAGAAAGGATGGCAGCATGACAAATACACAGCCCAATGTTTCTGGCTTTAAAGATAAAGGAAAAGGCCATGAGCCAAGGCATGTGAGAAGCTTCTAGAAACTGGCAAAGGCAAGGAAACAGACTCCTCCTCTGAGTCTCCAGAAAGGAATGCAGCCCTGCTGATACCTTGATTTTAGCCCAGTGAGACCCAACTCAGACTTCTGGCCTCTAGAACTATCCGATAATAAGTTGTCTTGTTTTAAGCCTCTTGATTTGTGATCACTTGTTACTGCAACAATAGGAAACTAATGTAGTACCAGACCTCTTGCTAAGTGTTTTCTATACTATCTCATTTGTTGTTTACAAAAAGCCTCAGCAGAAGGTGATAGACACGGCGAGTTTCCTATCCACAGAAATCTGCTCAGAGAAGCAACATGCTCAGCCAGATACTGCTTCTCAGCCTCCCTTCCTGGGACGAAGGCTGAAGTGTTCTGCTCCTCCCTTCTTCACTTCTTCCTGCCCTAGAGAAATGCAGACTAAAGTAACATCTTTCTTCTTCAGCCAATCACATGTTTAAAAGGCTCAGCAACACCATGCCTCTAAATGGCTTCCATCGCCCATGGATGCATTTCAAGATCTCCCAGAGGACTTGTGTAGCTCTTTATCTTGGTTCCTTCTAATGAGCTGCTAAATTTGTGGCTATCGAACGTGAACTAAACATTCAGTCCCTGCTGATCCCACCAGTCCACTTAGTTTACTGACTGCCCAGTCTCTTCTCAACCAGTTTGATCTGCTAAATTTACAAGTGATAAACTGAGCCATCCAGTCACCCCTGAAATGTGATGCTCTCCCCAGGAGAATTTCTTCTGAAGAGAAGAATGTGCAATTCTCAACTCTGGTAGCTTATGGAGACAGACTGGTTCACAGGGCTTTGTGCTGATGTGGCATATAGTCCACAAGTGCAATACGCCCTCTTGCATTATCCATTCCCTTCCCACCTCTTCCATACACAGATGCAGTTCATGGTGTTTGGGGAATATATTACTTTGCACATTTGAACCTGAAATCCTAATTAACTCTTTGATGTTGCCTCTTTGAATAATCCTTTCCTGAGCCCCCAATCTACTTTTCGTGCCTCCAAGATCTTACGTTGCACAGTTCATCACATTCATACGGTTTGTCTCTCCCATTAGGCCTTAGACTCTGTGAAGGAAGGGCCATACATCTATCCCTGGGCCCTGCCCATGTTAGATGCTTAATAAGGATTGTTGAGAGACTAGTGATTTGGAGGTACTAAGGGGACCCAAGTCTACAGGGACTGGGAAGTGCCTCTGACAGTGAGTGGCAGGACCTTCTCAGCTCAAGCATCTCCTTTAGACAGAAGCCCAAACAAAACACAAGGAAAGAATTAGGAAACCTGAGGTCCACCAGAAGCGCCAACTAATGTTTAGTGACCTTGCCAAAAGCAACTAGGGCTTCTAATTACCACAAGTGATCATGACTTGAATTTTTACGCACTTCCTGAAGTCATTCCAGCAGCACCACGTCTTTTCAACAGCCCTGGAAGTGGTGATGATGTGGTATGCTGGCTACTGGGTCATTAACACCACTCAATTCCTTAGCAACTGAGGTGAAACGTGTTCATCCCAAGTGCCTTGGAAGAAAGGCTTGTCTCTGCTCAACTTGTAAACTCTTAAATTTATCACTTAGGATAGTTTCTTCCTGAGTGACTTATCTGGTTGACTCTTAAATTATGACTGACTGGTTGACTCAATTGTGACTATCTGGTTGACTCTTAGATTATCAAAGCAAGGAACATGTCCTGTTTTTACATGAATCCTCTATATAATGACACATACAATGTCAGGCACCTAATAGGTCTTCAGCAAAAACTGGTAGATTGAATTACATGCTAGGACAAAATTAAGAGAGAGGGGTCAAATAAGACCTGCAGATAAGTCCAGATAAGATCTCTGGACTCAACTATATCCTAGGGCTTTGAGTTAACACAGAAATAGCAGGCTTTTCTGCCATAGAAAATTGTGCTTTCTTCCTCCACCCACCATCTCCCCATCTGCCCTGAGCATACACTCAGCCCATCGTCCCTTATCTGAGAACAGATCTGACTCCAAAATCCATTAGGGAGAAATTGCTATTGAATTTTATTGGGAGAGAGGGAAGAAGTCTGCATCACACATGTACCCAGAGAACATACAATACAATTTCATTTAAAGCAACGTTGTTCTTCCTCCCCATTCTTTTCAGAGTGTCTCTCCTCTTTCTCTTTTACTTCATTTCTTACTCTTAAGTTCCTTAGCCCACCGAGCTAAACCTGATGGATCTTCAAACAGCCGCCAGCTATTGCTCAGGTCTGCCCCCTGGAGCGATCTCATCCCCCATCCACACGCAGTTGATCAAATATTTACCCTCCAAACAGGTGTCTTTCTCAGCTACTCAAATAACATAACCTTTGGCCAGGCACAGTAAAGGGGCACAGTGGCTCATGCCTGGAATCCCAGCACTTTGGGAGGCCAAGATGGGTGGATCGCCTGAGGTCAGGAGTTTGAGACCAGCCCGGCTAAGATGTTGAAACCCCATCTCCACTAAAAAAATACAAAAAATTAGCCAGGTATAGTGGTGCATGCCTGTAATCCCAGCTACTGGGGAAGCTGAGGCGGGAGAATCACCTGAACCTGGGAGGCAGTGAGCCGAGATCACACCACTGCACTCTAACCTGGGTGAAGGAATGAGACTCCGCCTCAGAAAAACAACAAACAGACAAAAAAAGCAAAAACCAAAAACATAAAGAAAAAGAAAACCTAACTTTATCTATATTGTTATACCAAAAATAACAGATGTCACAGAATTTATTCATCTTTTTAAGGTAGGGATTCCTTTTATTTATTGCTAAGCTGAATAAACAGTAACTTTAACAATGTTAATGATGAAGAGTTGGAAATTTATTCTAAAACCTTTTAATTGATAGTAACATATTGTTAATCATTTAAGTGTTTCTTTCTCTCTCTTTTTTTTTTCCCTGAGACAGTGTGTTGCTCTGTTGCCCAGGCCGGAGTGCAATGGCACAATCTCAGCTCACTACACCTCTGCCTCCCAGGTTCAAGCAACTCTCGTGCCTCAGCCTCCCGAGTAGCTGAGATGACAGGCATGCACCACTATGCCTGATATATATATATATATATATATTTTTTTTTTTTTTTGTATTGTTAGTGAAGATGTGATTTTGCCATGTTGGCCAGGCTGATCTTGAATTCCAGGCCTAAAGTAATCTACCTGCCTCGGCCTCCCAAAGTGCTGGGATTACAATCATGAGTCACTGCTCATTTAAGCTTTTCTTAAGTAATCTTCAACGCACTTTGTTTCAATCTTATTATTGAAAGTTACTAAAGGGTTTTGTCCATTTACAAAGATGAGAGCTGGCTTCCTGAGTGGCAACAATCAGATAGAACTGAGAAGTGATTGTCCTTTAGATAGGCATGGATTTTCCAGTCTGCCACAGTCCCCACCATCCCTTATTGCCTCCTTGACACCAATGCCAAGTGTCAATTACCATTTATCATCAGGCTTCCATTGCTGTCTTTCCAAAAAGAGTGTTAAGAGGAAAGTAAACTGTTTCTTGATTTCATGGGCATACCTGCCTGGCTCTAATTAAGTGAGCAGCCGCTGTCCCTTTTGGTTCCATCATTGTACAGATGGGAGCTTTCTTCGTATGATTAAGTAAAATCTTCAAAAAAGGAATGAAAATGTATTCACCAGGCTACAAGTAGGTAGGGAGTGATTTCACAGATCGAATGAATTGCTGTTACTAACGATGTCACATAATTTACAACTTTGAGCAAAGGTTCCCAGGGGACAGGTGTGAAAACAAAAGCAAGTGATATGTCACCTCACCTTCCTGAGAGCAGGCAGAGGCAGTGCTTTAAGAATAATCAATGACTGACTGGCAGCTTACAGGGGGCAGAGTAGGGCTTCACTGTCTTCTCTGCATGGCCCCTTATTAACAGTAGCCCCAAGATTAGAACTCTCTAGAGTAATGACTCAGTATGTGCCCAAATGCTGAGACATGACTTCAGCCTTTGCTTTACCAGCCCACTTTGGGGGGCAGGATGTGAAGATTTGGTGAGTTGGACTCACAGTTTGTAGAGTCTGGTTGGACAGCAGTTTTGTTTTGTTTTGTTTTGCAACATCCCTTAAGACAGATACTTTGTGCAATATGAGAAATGACTATTAGTCACTTTACAGATGAGAAAGCAAAGTTAAGTAACTTTCCCATTGTCAAGTAGCTCGGAATGTTAGCTGGGAATCACACCTTGGTCTGTCTTCATCCAAACTCAATCCCTTTTCATTACAATATGCAGCTACAAGAACCTGGTAGTTTTTATTTTATTGTATTTTATTTTATTTTTTTGAGATGGAGTTTCACTCTGTTGCCCAGGCTGGAGTGCAGTGGCACAATCTTGGCTCACTGCAGACTCCACCTCCTGGGTTCCAGCGATTCTCCTGCCTCAGCCTCCTGAGTAACTGGGACTACAGGCACGTGCCACCATGCCCGGCTAATTTTTGTATTTTTAGTAGAGACGGAGTTTCACCATGTTGGCCAGGCTGGTCTTGAACTCCTGACCTCAAGTGATCCTCCCACCTTAGCCTCCCAAAGTACTAGGATTACAGGCATGAGCCACTGCACCTGGTCAAACCTGGTACTTTAAGATGAGAATAGCATTCTTCAATATTTCATTATTTACAGCATCATAGACATAGCCTTCAATTGTTCAAAGTAGTTAAGAGTATGTGCACTGATGGGAGTGGGGAGCATGTGTATTGTTTTATGTTGTTTCATTTTGCCACTCTCAAGCAAACTTCTCCTTCTCCAGTATCATCAACATACCCAACCTCAACCTCATAACTGCTAATTCTTCACAAATACCCATAAAACGTACTTATTGAAAGCTGTATTTCCCCCAAGATGTTGGCTATATAGGCAGCTTCAGGTTAAGTATTTTCAAACTTCAGCCATAGCAACAGCAGTTGCACAACCAAGGGCAGCTGTTGATGAAGTCACTGGGAACAAATGAGCAGAGATCCCAGTACTCCTCTGGCCTGTAATCACTCCTCACCACTGGCTCTCAGACTACGTTGATGATCTGGACCCTGGGCGTGCCATTTAGCTTAACTATACAGCTGAAGGAAATGTTCAGGAAAGGATTCTTAATTTGAGATTTTCCTTTGAAGAACACGAGGCTTCATTTTTAAAGAAAGGAAGGCAGTCTATCATGGGATATTACCAGGGTCCTCACAACAATGCAAAGCGAAATCTGATCCAGTCTCACCTGGGTGTGGTGGCTCATGCCTATAATCCCAGCACTTTGGGAAGCCAAGGCAGGTGGATCACTTGAGGCCAGAGTTCGAGACCAACCTGAGCAACAGGGTGAAACCCTGTCTCTACCAAAAACACGAAAATTAGCCAGTCTCATAACCCAGTCTCAAAAAAATTAAATAAATAAAAATTTAAAAAAAAAACTTAAAAAATATTTTTAAAAATCTGATTCAGTCTCTTCAGACATCCTCCCACAGAAGATGCTAAAAAAAGGTTTCTTACATGGTACATATACACCATGGAATACCATGCAGTCATAAAAAGGAATGAGATTGTGTCCTTTGGAGAGACAGGAATGGTGCTGAAAGCCATTATCCTCACCAAACCAACACAGGAACAGAAAACCTAACACTCATGTTCTCACTTATAAGCAGGAACTGAACAGTGAGAACACATGGACACAGGGAGGGGAACAACACACACTGGGCCTCTCGGGTGGTGGGGTGGGGGGAGGGAGAGCATTAGGAAAAATAGCTAATATATGCTGGCCTTAATACTTAGACGATGAGTTGATAGATGTAACAAACCGCTATGGCACAGGGTTACCTATGTAACAAGCCTGCACATCCTGCACATGTACGCTGCAACTAAAATTAAAATTAAAATTAAAAAAAGAAGAAAGAAAGGTTTCCTGATGATCTCTATCTGACCCCTTTGAGGGTGACCCAATCCATTTATTAATTATATGCTCTTGAACAGTTGCTTTTACCCAAAGGGCTTTGTTATTAGTAACAGTGCTGATTATACTCTCAATATTTATGGAACATACCAGCTCCAAGATAAGTGGTTTCCTTTATTTGATCCTTACAACAACAACTCTATGAGCAAGCAGGAAGAAGGAAGAAACAGGTAGAGTGCTATATTACCCTTATTTTATAGACAAGGAACGAAGACCACCAATGTGCCTAAAATCACCTCGTATGCTGCAGAATCACATAGCTAAACCTACATTGGTCAAACTCCAAGACCCTAGTTTGTATGACTATGCTCAAGTAACTAGGTAGTCAATTCAAATACTCCATTCTTCAATTTGACATTTATAACTTACTAGCACTCACAGTAGGGGTCAGCATCTCATAGATCACCATATGGCCTATAAAGCCTAAAATATCTACTCTCTGGCCCTTTACAGAAAAAAGTTTGCTGACCCTTGGCTTAGAAGAGTAGTAAACCAAATCCCAAGTGTTGCATTCAGTTTACTGAAGTCTCTGTAGTACTTGGGACCAGAAGATTCTATCACCTCTTTTAACTCAAGAAAAATATTTCTCTGCTTTGAGTTATGTAAATGACCGAGAGTAATGAAAGTTGGAAATAAATTTTGGGGAAAATAAGAGCTAAAGAGTTGTGGTTGTAAAATATCCACCTCCTGAATTACTGTAGAGCTGCTGGTTAACCAAAATCCAGGGAGGGTTTTGCCAGAATCATGAAGAATTTTGTGAATGGGTCTACACTGAGTATACAGAAAAGTGCCCACAGGCCTCTCTGTATCCACGTTGATGGGGGATTAGAGGAGACTCCACCTACCAACATGCAGCCGAACTGAAGACTAGCTGTTTAAATGGATGCAAGCATGCTAAGCCAATCAAAATAGTGACAAAGAGGGTAGTCAGAAAGGCAGTGAGTAACTATTCATTGTTTTCAAACATGGCGAGAGGTGTTTGGTAATCTTTGTGTGAAACAGACATCTGAATCATCTCAGCAGCAGGGAGTTCTCATGAGTCATGTAATACATGCTAGTCCCAAATTAGGTCTTTCCACCAGCTCAGGAATCTTACCAACACTATCACACTACTCAGTATGGATCCAAAACTCAAGGATTATCTATCTAACTACACCTGCATGTTCAAATGTATTAGATGTACCATGGTATAACATAAGCATATCGTTGGTGTACCATAGACTTTACCTATAGGGTAGAGTCCTTCAAGGTTGCAGAAGAAACAGCTGCAAAAGCTGCAAACTCCAAAACTGCCTCAGCTTGCTGTGTGAATTGGCACATGTGCTGCCTCTTATCTGAGCCTAACAGCCATCTATAAAATGAGATGTTTGAGTTGGATGCCACTGCACTGCCTTCCAGCTGCCTGAATATGTGGAGGGGAAGCTCCTCCAACAGTGTAAAAACAATCCTGGAATACACTGCTGACTTATGACTCATAATTCATCATATCATTATCTAATTAGCATTATAATTACCATCAATAGGATCATTGTTATTATCCTTATTCTAGCATCAGTAATAACAATATAATAATAGCCAACATTTGTTAAGTGCTTTGCACGTGCCAGATCTTATTTGTTGAGGTCTCTGGAACATGTGGGACCAGAAGATTGTAGTATCTGCATAGACCAGGAGCTGGCAAACTGTAGCCATGGTCTAAATCCAGCTCACAGCCTGTTTTCATAAACAAGGTTTTATTAGAACATACTGAAGACTATTGTTTACCTATTGTCTGTTTCACTGCAAGAGCAGAGTTCAGTAATTGCAACAGAAACCCTAAGATATTTAACTGACCCTTTTGAGAAAACACTTGTTGACCCTCTTAGACACTACATAGGAAATCTGTTTTTTTTTTTTTTTTTTTTTTTTTGCCTGCCTAGTGTCTGCTTATTACTCTTTTGGTTCTATCCTCTCAACTTCTCTTCAGGGCACTTCCCCTTCTTAATCCCGTCCCAATGGTTTGGATGAAACTGAACCATGCCCATCTCAGGCCTGGCAAATCAGGTTACTCCATTCCCATGACCACATATATTTGTGGGTGAACATGTGTACCAAGTTAGTCCAATGAGATGTAGTCCTAAGACTTTGGCTAGAAAAAGTGGGAAGGAGGAGCTCTTCTTTGCTGAGGTATCTCACCTGTCAGAATGTGTCCAAAGCTGCTGGGAGCTTATAAGGAAATGACCTGCCTGCGTTTGAAGACAAAGAGATATGGAAAGAGAATGAGTCCTAATAATAAGATTTTAGCTCCTAGATCCAGATATGCCTCAAGTTATTTCTAGACTCTTTGGTTAATAAGCTAATACATTCTCTTGTTCTCTTAAGACAGACTAAGTTAGGCTTCCATCACTTGCAACTAAAACAAAGCAATCCTTTGAAACAGACATAATTACTTTACCCACTAAGACAAACCTGCTCAAGATGACATAACTAGTAAGTGGCAGAGGCTAGGACCCAGGTCTCCACTGAGCTTTTCAAGATGAAGGGGTCAGCATCTAGAGCTCTCTAGAAGATCTGGCTAGAATCAAGAACAGAATCAACACATGATTTTCCTGTCTGTGAACGGCTCTCTAAAGGGCAATTCTTTGGGGATCATCCTGTTTTCTACTTGTGACTGCCCCATGCCAAGACCCAGTAGAGTACTGGCTTCTCATGCAGTAGTTTGAGGGAAGTTATGATCAAGAGTGATGTCATAGCCATTTTTCAGCTCTTCATTCTTGCCATTTAACGGAAAAATTTTTGCTGGAGAGGGAGCTGGCCTCCCTCTGTTGGGATATTTAGTCATTCAGTAAGAAACACATAATCAGAGAATCTCAATGTGGTGAGCAAGATTGTGGGTCAGGATGCTTCTGTATCAAGGAGTACGTTAGGACAGAATTTGCTGAAGAAGAGATTTCACAAAATCAAACCTAACTGGAACTATCCATTCCACAGGGCATCTTCTTATATCGTGCTTTGAAGGGGACGAACTCCAGAAGGAAACATGCAGAGCAGGGTATGGAAACAAAATCTCTCAGGGAGCTCTTTGGTTAGTGTGTGGCTTCATGTTACACCTTTACCAGTTGGAGGACCTTATAATGAGGACTGGGTCTCAGATAGGCAACCTGGTGACTCACAGCACCCTCTGTCAGAGGTGAACTGGCTCAACACACCACATCAAATGAGAGAATGGATTCAAACATTTTTTGATGATTTTCAACTATGAAAGTTCAGCATAAGTTAGATGGACAGATTGATAGATGGAGGGACGGATATTGGATAGACAGAAGATTGACAAGCATAAAAATATACACGTATAATTGTATATACAGAGATGACAAGTAATATTTCTGGAAAGATCACAGGATACTACTGAGAGTGGTAGCCTCTAGGGAGAACTGAGTAAATGGGTATCTCAAATGATGGGGTAACTCACTGATCATTGCATTCTCCTTAGCACTGTTTAAATGTTTTCCCATGTGCATTTATTGCTTTTTCAATGCTAGGATTAAAAGTATGAGGGAATTATCTAAAATATATTTAACAACAAAGCCCTCTTGATTTCAACCCTCAGTGACCCTAAAATTCAAATGACTAAAACCCCATTTCCTCAGGCTTTCTTATTAAGCTTTTGTCCTTGAGGCTTTGTAATATCAGCCATGCAGAGACACTGACATGAGCTCTCTGCTCACGTGTCACTTCTCTGAGCAGAGAAGAGCAGCAACGGGACCCAGCTCATGCCAGACAAACATATTACACGAGACTTGTTCCTTTGGTGTGTGCCTTAACTCAGTGCCAAGCCGGAGGTAAAGGGCAAAGAGTGACAGGAAAGAGTCCAAAATACGGGCCACAAAGGGGTCTAGTCCATCTGGGCGCAGCTGGAGCCAGGACGGGGCATCCCTGGCACAGAGATGAAAGAGCTCTTGGTAGTCTGGCCTCCAAGGGATTTGAAGTCTTTGGAATGATCTGAGCTCCCTACCTGCTTTAGTATAGTCAGTGGACAACACTGATCACTTCAAAAGAATGGGAAATGAAACAGAGCCGTCCTGCACAATTCTGAATCACACAGACATTCTGGAGGAAGAACCGGTGTCTGGCTTTAAAGCCCACTTCTACCCCTTTCTAGCCGTAGGATCCTCAGCAACTCACTTTAGTCCCCAAGAGCCTCAGTTTCCTTATCCATACAAAGGAAGAAGGTTGCAGCATAAATTAGATGCAATTAGTGCCAGCTACAAAGTAGCAATCGGTATTGTCCTAGTTCCCTCCTCCTCTTTGGCATTTCACAAGTAAAGGGAATGCTCTTAAAGAATTCATCCATTGAAAGAGACAACAGAAAACTCTGTCAAAATGAACTTTCTTAGAAAACTGTGCAGACACTGAAGTGAGATCCAGCTTCTCTGGACTCTTACGTAACAAGTTACGTAAGGGTCATCTTATTCCCCCAGTGTGCCCTCTGGGATTATGGCGTGGAGGCTAAGGTCAAAAGGAAATTATGTAAGCATAATCCTGGAAAATTGACAAACAAAGCAGTGACCAGTTCAAGAAGCAAACCAGCAGTACGTTACAGTGAATCTCCCAGACACTGCGGACTTACATAAAACATAGATTGAGTACATTTGGTTGAGAGTGGGGGAGGGGATTGTCGAAATATTTTTTAAATGGTATATCAATATACCAAACTATCTGAATAGAGGCTGGAACTGCATTAGAGCAGCCTCTCTCGAAGGTTCCGGTTCCCCCTGTGATGTTACATATTAACCTCTTAATTGCTGCCTCCTAGGGAGGTCCCACGTCAGAGAGGTAGAGGGAGAAGTGGGGGTAATGAGACCTAGGATAGAGGGAAGTGAATTTGGGTTGGGGCACTTTACCAACAGGTATTTAAGTATTTATTACCTACCAATGCTAACAAATGAAGGCATCTTTTAACTACCAGCTGCATAGCAATCCTGGAGAAGTGGCATTTCTGAAATAGTCCTATTCATGAAAATGTTTAAAATCCTGTTAAAAACCTACTAAGGTATAGAGCATCACAAGCAGCATACAAGAACATTCTCACCCACCTTAACAATCAGGGTAGAGCAAGTGAAAATACCAATTTTTGCACATCAAATTGACAAAACGTCTTTAAAAAGTTGACAACGTCTGTGATTGGCAAGGACAGGTAAATTTAACACGGGAGTCCAAACCGGTATTGAGTGTTGGGGGGAGTTTGGTAGTTTCTGTCAAAATTTAAGATGTGTAATACCCTTTCACATCACAAAACATTTTTCTTAACATCCATCTTGAGAAATGTGTATCTCTGTTCACAAAGATGTCGATTCTTTGCAAAATTGTTTATCACAGTAAGAAACTGACTAATAACCGAAATGTCATCAATAGAGGAGTGCTTAATAAATTCTGATATATTTTGATACAATAAAACTGTACGTACCTGTTAAACAGAATGATGCATTGCTGCATGAGCTGATATGGAAAAATATATAAGATGTAAATAAGATGTTGAAAATTGTATATGCATGTGTACATTTGTAACGTTTGGAAAGAAAAATTAAGAAATGATAGGTAAGAATTATCTCTAGAAATGGATGAGGGTTTTGGAGACAGGTATGTAAAGAGAGATTCTTGCATATTTTTGTAAGTTTTTGGTAGGTTTTTACTTTTAAAAGGATTAGCATGTTCATGTATCATGCTGTACAATTAAAACTACTTTTGAGAAACGGTGAACAGCCATCTGAGATGTTTGGAAGAAAACAGCATTTGTTTTAATGCAGGAAAATATTAACTTTTAAAAGATAAGTCTAAGAAGCTATCATTTATAAAGGAAGTTACCATAGATGTAATAAGCTCTGTGTGAAGATTTGGCTCCAAGCTCACCTAATGCAGATACTGACAAAAGGTAACCTTCTGCCTGAAATGATTCTGAGGTTTATGCTTGAAAATCAAAGCAGTTTGTCTAGAAGAGACAACTAGAGTTTATTTCTCTCAGATGTAATGAACCTCTCAAATGAATGTGGTTTTTTGTTTGTTTGTTTTTTTCCCTGGTTCAAAAGGAGGCACAGCATAATTTCTAGTATGGTAGCTTTCGTTGCCTCCTGCAAGATTAGAGAAAAATGGCTGGGTGTGGTGGCTAACACCTGTAATCCCAGCACTTTGGGAAGCTGAGGTGAAAGCATCGCTTGAGACCTGGAGGTTGAGGCTGCAGTGAGCAGTAATCTGTCCGCGGCACTCCACCCTGGGTGGCAGAGTGAGACTTTGCCTAAAAAAAAATTAAAAAATTAAATGAAACTTAAAAAGATTAGAGAAAAATGCAGCATCTCTTTTCTGAACCTTAACCCTACTCATTCAGTAACAGAGGCTATTATATCCCATTCACACTCAAGTTCATGCATCAGAAAATACTAGCCCAAAGCTGGTCTTGACCACCTGTATTCAACTCCTAGGACATCGTTTCCAGAATAGAACACTTATGGTTCTAGAGTGGAGCTAGAGTTTGCGAGTGGGGTTTCTATCACTGCCCTGCTCTGATACATCGTGAGCCTTCAGACAAGTCACAAACACCACACCGGTGTGTCAGTAATAAGACAAGAATAATAAAGAGTGCCTATAGGAGAACAGAAAATTCCAGGCAGCAGTTTCACAAAACTAGCACAAAGGAAACTGTTGAAAGAGCAGCATAGGCTAGGGGCTGATTAAAAAAAAAACCTGAAAAACAGGGTGTGGGCCAAGCTGGCTAAGACTGACAGGACCCAACATAGCACTGGATTTGACCTAAGTTTCACCTAGGACCTCAATATATGCTCATTAGCATACCAAATCACATACCTATTGGTACCATGACAGTTCCAGAAACAACCATATTTGGTGTAAAAATGAGTGGCACCTCAGTTCCAAGAAATCTTCACCTTTTCTCAGGAATCTTCATTAACATTCCACTCTTTGGTTAAGGAAACTCACAAAGGTAGAAGCCCCAAACCCTGCTTGGCATGACTTTCTTGAGTACACATGCACTCCCCTTTCTTGAGTGTGTACTTTTCACTTGCAATAACTCTACATACTTTCACTAGTTTCCTAACTAGTCCTTGAATTTCTTTTCACTCTGGTGTCAAGTGCTTGGACACCAACCAGGATGGAGGTCCCCTGGGAATCTGGGGACCTCCTGTAGCCCATTGA